TCCGACGGGGGCGTTTGCGCGTGCTGGTGGTGCTGGGGACGGGTTCCTTGTGCTGAGTGAGAGTCTGAAGGGGTTGATGGCGGATTGTCTCCCCTCGCTGAGAACCTACTCCCCCGTACCTGGCGGCATGGCTAGTCTGCGCAAGGGTGTCAAGACGACGAGGGCGATTGCGGCCTCCGGGACGGGTAACGGTGACTCGTTCATGCGCGTCGCCGCAGGTCGGACCGTCGGCGCCGTGGCGAGGTGGAAGCCTCTTTCCGGGGCTGACGCCGTGTCGTTTGTTTCTGGTCCGGGCGGGGAGTTGCAGAGTAGTGCGGGTCCGCGATGGAAGGTGACAGGCGAGGGTGAGGGCGGTATTATCGGGATCGAGGTTGCGGTTACGAGGGACGAGGGAGGGGAAGTGGTGGGTGTGAGGTCGGAGATTCTGCAGGACTTCAACTGTAATGGGATGTACAGGGCTTGGATCGCCGATGATGGCAAGGCGTATGCCAAGATTTATCGGGATGGTGTTGAGGGGGTTGGTGTGAGGGAGTATTCTGAGAAGTGGTGAGCCCCAAACCGGATACGACATTTCCAGATTAGAAATGTTCTAGAGTCAGTCGAGGAGATTCAAGATACGGTATAGAACCAAGATTTTGAGAAGAAATCAGCGAGTTGATGGTACAATTATGAACACCTCTATCCCACACAGGCTAAGTACTCGTGTCAAAAAAGGGAGAAAAGAGACTGCCTCTCTCCTCGAATCCAAAACCCCAGCCATATCGAGAACAAATGCAGGTTTTGCCCCTGACCATGCTGCCTAGTCGGAAGCCGCCTCTCGTCTTTAGTGAGTTGGAAACCCCCCTCTAAGATCATAATGGCTGTCCACCCCTCATCTCCAGTCCAGTCTCCGGCGACTGGTGCAGACTTTTTGCCCCTATTCTACATATAACGCCACCCTCTCCGATGTTGCGATTTTTTCAATGAATTACAAAAATAGGATCAAATTACTTCGCTCCCTTGGGTTGTGGAAAACAAATTGTCGAGCCCTCGTCAATATGACGAATAACAGACTTCGAGCGTTGAGGAGTAGAGAGGGGTCCGAGTTATTCTTTTCGTCGGCAAAGCGGTCGCCTCGATCACAAGCCGTTCGTCGGTAAAATGGATGCTTCGTGAAGGATCGATCGTTTATGCAAGAGCTCTCTCGTCGGAAGGAGGAGGCGCCGGCATCTATCACAGGAATTGTCAGCTTCGTTTCGCCGGTCGAGCGCCTGCGACTGTTTCAACTCACCTCCAGCTTTGTGCTACCCGCGAACATCTTCTGGAAACCGATACCGACACCCTCGATAACGGCAAGAAGTAGCGCGCAACCAATGGCACCGTTTCGGGCGGCCTAATAAGTCAAGTTAGCGACATATAGGAATCGGCCGTATATGCAAGTTGGCTAACCTTGTATCCTCCACGGATGGCTAGCGCACCACCTGTGAGGAAACCAGCGGCGATACTGTTCCAAGGATCCTCCTTGTGTCCACGAAGACCTGAACATAGAATGTTAGCGCCCAAGACATAGATAGCGCCATAAGATGCAAAGGAATATTGCCGGCCCTGCGAGCGCTGGCGTTTCGAGGTGATAGCTCAGGCTAATGCGCCATGTTGCAACACCATCTTCGCCAGTGCGAGGCCTAGCGATTTCCCCTCGTATCTTAGGGCTTTACGGAGTTTGAGGAGACGGTTCATACTTTTTACGGAGCAGTCGAATGTTCTGTTTTTCATCAAGTCAGTCAGTAAGTTACTCAAATCTCCAGGAGGGTTTGTAACGGTTTGGCATTCGGGATCGAGATTTTGAGTTTCGGCATAGGAGTCCACTCACGAGAAAAGACCTCCCCAAACTAGAGAATACCGTGTTAGCGTTTTCTACGAGATCAAAAGTCTCCCGAAGAGTCGTATGCTTACCTCCAAAGTTTCCTCCCAGTACGGGAGCGCGCATCTTGATGGCTGAGATGGCACCAATTCTTCTTTCACCTGATGCGCTGTTAATCATCACCGCCATCTCCGAGATCGCGCAGAGGGGTGTCATTACCATAAGGCGAGTTACGGTAGCCCTTGATACCGTGCCATACCGTTCCACCGATAGCTAGGCATGTGTCAGAATGCAAGTTTCGGGGCGAGGTTGATCGATTCGGGAGCTTGAGGTTCGAAATGGAGTTGTATTCGGGATTCGAGGAGTGCATCGATGTTCGTGATCGCAAATGGCTAGATTACTCACCTCCCATAGCAAAAGCACCGCCAAAGTCTACAAGATCGTTAGTCTTCTGCTCCTAGGGGGTGATGATGGTCGGCTGAGGACGTTACCATTGAGGATGACCCAGGGGCAGGGATCGCGGGTGTGGTCCATTGTGAAAAGTTTGATGTGCGGTCGAGAGGTCGTATGATGGTTGGCGTGAAGCTTGGAGCTTTGAGACGCGACGGTTCGACGTGGATTCGCTGGGTGATGGTTGACGTGGGTGGTGAAAAACCAGGTTCGAGATGCGATTTTGGTGATGCTTGGGTGGCTACGGCGGGTCAGGATGCGACGGGTGTCGTGAATGATTTCTCCGACGGCGGACTTTTTCGTCTGATTTGTTATCTTATCGCATGTCGCCTGCTCCGATTGGCCAGTGGGGTCAGAGGTCTCCACTGTCGGCGTTATCTCGTCATTGGCCCAATTCGGAGATGTACCTCCCGTCTTACCTGACAGCAGGAAGTGAGAGTCACCTAAAGTGACTAATTGAACGTGATATCTCGTGCGAAGAGATAAAATGGTGAACTGAGTTATCTGCAACTCAATCTTGTATGTTTCCATCAATCCTGTGTCATGCGTCAACAATTCGAACCAATCTCATCTCGTAAAGGCTGCACTCTCGCGAGAGCCAATGCGGAACATGTACCTTACATTCAATCAATGACCAGAGCAGCGTACTCCAAGTACATCGACCGCATCGGCAAAGAACCAGCACCCATGAAAGCCGACTACCACGAGCTCATCAAGACGCAGCTGGTCTACATACTTCACAATGATGAGAATGACACAGTAGTAGGCGCCATTCTACTTCGCCTTGATCCTTCAGCGAGTGCACTGCACATCAACAACCTTGTCGTAGCCCCAGAGGCTCAAGGCCGCGGATACGGTCGAGTCTTGATGAAATGCGCCGAGGATGTGGCGAGAGATTCGCAATGCACATCTCTCCAACTCTACACCAATGTCAAAATGTATGAAAATCTCATTCTGTATCCCAAGATGGGGTTCGTCGAGACAGAGAGGAGGACGGAGGATGGGTACGAGAGGGTGTACTTTCGTAGGGAGCTGGATGTTGCATAGACTCCACCGCAATCTGTCTTGTTCACACTCATTAACGAGGAAGGGCCCACGAGCGCAACATCAGGAAGAAAATAGCCGCCGTACACTCGACTATATCTCATTCCAGGTTGTTCAGAGTAGGAAGAAAAATCAACAATCGAGGCACGGCTTCAATCTGCGGTTGTAAGATACCAGCTGAACCCGGATGCTGGAGGCCTTCAGTGAGCTAAACTCGATTGACACACTGGAAACTGAGACAGCCCAACCAATGAGAATCCACACTGAGCTTCCGTTCCGTCAGCGGAACAACTCATGTGGCGCACGTCATGCTACCTTGACGCACTCATCTCATCACTGTACAGTACAGATAATCCAACTTCATCTCAGTGAAAGCGACGACAGCTTCTCTATATCTTAAAACTTGGATCCCTTCGATTCCTTCGATCGAAGTCTGCATAGTCATTGGCCCGTCTCACTTTTTCTACTCAGTTACGCCAGTGCCATCATATCATTCGGGCCATCATGGCCTCCCAAGACAAGCACGACGACACAGGCTCTGATACAGCTTCAGAGTTCCACACCCCAATCTTGACGCCTGCAACAACATCCGTAGCAGGCGAAGATGTCGAGGACGATCATGTAAGCGACATACCGTGGCCCGGCAAGCACTTCTACATCATCGAAAAGGAGACCGGCAAAGCCATCACACTCGTCGAGGACAGGCCAGTTCTCATGGACCTCCAAGGCGTCCGCGATCCCGCCACCATGTGGTATTGCGTCGAGAAGCAAGGGTATTTTGGGTTCTTAAACAAAAGCTGGGGGAAGTTCATTGGTCATGACAGCAAGAGCGACGTAGGTGCGTGGGCCGGGGAGATGAGAGAGTGGGAGTCGTGGATTCCTAGGCAGCATCCCGATGGGGGCTACCAGTTGCTGTCGCCGTATTGGACGCATACTATGATGCAGCTTTGTGTATGTCCTGACAGGATCAACCTGTGTAGGCGGTCTCATGGGCCAACGTTGTGGGAGTTCATGCAGGTTCCATGGTAGGTCTGGATTACGCATGGACGGGAGTCGCAGGTCTTGTTGCCGGTGATTTAGCGACTGTGGGCAAGTCGGAGGCGTTGAAGATTTCAATTAATAAGACGGATCTGTGACTGAATGTCATAACTCGACGTATTGCAGAACAATGGACGATACTGGGAAGTTAGCTGAGCTGTTTCCTCTCACCTGCTTGAGGTGCAGCAGCATGTTGGATGGCAATGCCAGCAATAACACGGTCGCTGTCTCAATGGCCAAATGAGGTGAACCAGCTTCATATGCCTCTCATACCAAGGCCATTTCTTGCGATGTTTGGCATGAGTCTCTGGACATCCCAGCCTAACATGGACTTCCCATCCATTGTGAGAGTCACCAATGATCAGAAAAATCAGTAGAGCAAACGTCAGTGCATGTACGGAATGCTGCTTCTTCTGACGAACTTTGAGTGTGTATATCGTACTCGGGTCAGGACTCGCGACCTCAAACGTTGGAGAGCAAAACATGTGTGATCATGGGAGAATTATTCATTGTCTATTACATCATTATGATATTGCGTCCTAAAAGTCCAAGTCATGGCCATCTTCATAGCATCACCTGTGGAGGTCTACTCGTGCCACGTCCATATATACATGTATCTTCATACGCTTTACAACAAGGCGGCGCCGATAGCAACACCAGCCACCAATCCAAACAGCTCGCGAGACGCGCCGGTAGGAACAGCGGCGTTAGGGCTGTTGGTAGTAGCAGCAGTAGTCGCAGCAGAACCAACAGCCCGCGTGCTACGAGCAGACTGGCTTCCGGATACCGACCCAGCCCCCGTTGTCAGGGTAGTCATGGTAGCATTGCTGAAGCCGCTCGAAGTAACAACAACAGCCGTCGCAGACGCAGCCGTCTCGCTCTCAACAGCGGCAGAGTCCGTCGACGCGGTCACGGTGGCAACAGAAGTACTGTCAGAGGCACTGGCGGTAGTCTCCGGGGCGGCAGTGGTGGTGACGGGTGCCACAGTCGTCGAGACCACGGGCGCGGCGCTGGTCTGCAGGGGCAGGAAGGAGGGCGAGTAGGTCTCGGTGCCCTCGTAGGAAGGGCAGCCGGGGACGGTGGTCTTGGGAGGGGCGCGGCCGCCGCCGCAGTCGAGGGCGGCGCAGATCTCGCCGGTGCCGGGGACGTACCAGACGCGGGTTGCGTAGGGTGTGCCGCCCTGGGTGGGTGTGACGACGGAGTCTGAGGAGACGCAGCCGGCGAGGTCGGTCTTTGCCAGGACAGCGGTGGCCATGATGGCGAGGGAGGTGATGTATCTGAGAGACATTTTTGCTGTGGGTTTTGATTTGGTATTATTTGTTTTGATGTTGTCGGGTATTAAGACGGTGTAATAGCTCCGGTAGCGGTGTCAGAGCAGTGCAAACGATTGTGTTGATTATGAACGAATGTAATGACCCGAGGGTGAGTGAAGGCTTCGAAGTCGATGACCGTTATCAGAATGAAGAGAGAGAGAAGGATATCAGAACACCCCTCGTCGTCGAAAGATCTTTCCCTCACAGACTTTTGTATGTCCAGACGATTCCAAGTTCCCAACAACGGCTGCCTTAACCCCGGGTCTAAACAACGCCCCTGGACGGAGCTAAGCGGGGTCTGAGACGGGAATCTTGCGCCACTTCATCTCGGAAGCCGCCCTAGCGGTCATTAAGGCCATCCTACAAACGCCCGATCCCAACGGCTCCGCGATCCTGTGGCTGTTTGGTATGTCTCATAGATGGCCCATTTTGAGATGCCGTTGCAGCCGTTCCGGTCAGATTTTTTCTTGTCGCAGATCCATCCATCGTTCCATGAGGGAAAGCCTTTTTTCTTTCTTGTTCCGTGGATGAAACCGTACCTCAACACACTAAGACGCGCCAAAAATAATCCTCCAGTTGTAAAAACTGCACCGCCCCTTTGACGGTAGTCCACCGGTCTCGAACGGGCGAATACGGCGCGGACCACCGCGCCGGGATCTCAATCCTTGCATTGCTCATGTTTTCCCCCCCTCCAATGGGACTTTGGGTCTCCTCGATTCTATTTGCTGGGGCTTCGTATGCTAATTCCTTGCTGCAGGTACCGGTAATACGAAAAGCAAGCGTAGTGGCGTGAGTGGCCCAAAGTCCCAACAGCTGTTTGTTTTGCGAATTAAATTTCATTATGCGTAAATCGCTGAGTGAGAATCCCTGCCATACCTACCTTGACTTTCAAAGTCTAGACACCAGAATAGCCGTTCAACAGGGACGTTCTTGATAGCCGGCCAAGGGAATGACGACATGACACCTCAGGCCCCTTGCAAGTACGTGTACTAAGTCAGAGCTCGAGTCCTCCTCGGAACAATAAAACTTGGTTGTGGGCTCGACATTGAGGTGCTACAAGACTGGTCGCGTACGTTTCTAGCTATCGATCAAGTCTCTGCAAATGAATTCGCTGCACACATGTTTGTTTGATCAACAAGGGAGAGGTCGATGCTCAACCGCTAAAGCCCTTCGGAAGCGTGTCACCCAAAATGCTTACGAAAACAGCAAAGTCGGAACAAATGAACTTGAGACTCTACCCTGTCGAGGCTGTATGGGTTCGCTTTCGTTTGTCGGGATTTCGGCAGATTCTTCTCGGTATTTCGAGTCTTGAGTTGCTTCATGATTACTCCGAATTTCTAAATATCTCAAAGAGTGTTGGATCAATTGCATGGGCTACATGAGCAAATGAACGAATCATATGCAGATCCAAAGAAGGACTGGAACTATCTTGGAATAGAACGTAAGATATCTGTCGGGCGAACCTCTTCAAGTCGGGCAGAGCTTTCATTCGCTCCTAGGTAAAGGGTACACCGATGTCATGGATGAGAGAAACGTTTGAGCACATCAGCAGGAGAAAAAGGTCACGAAGATGGAAAGCATTCTGTTCAGAACTCCCGACAAGTCGTCAAAGTATACGCTGAGGTAAATAATAGTTAAGATAGTAAGAGCAGGTGTAGCGGTGTTGAGCTGGGAGATGCCAAACGGCTTAAACGTATCTACTTTACCCGAAACTCTTTATCTACCCAGTTATGGTCTCAAGTGGCATTACATTACGGCGGGTGCAGATGAAGCATAAAGCCTTTGATGACTCTAAGTTGGAGGTTTTCAAGTCTCTTTGTCTGATTCTTCGATTTCGGTTTTCTCATTCCTGGACTTCGATAATTCGTACAAGAGTCAAGTTTCCGAACACGTCCCGGATTGGAAAGTCGAACCGGATTTTTATTCCAACAAAGGATTTGTCCGATGTCGACCTGATACTTGATTGTTCCCGTCAAGTCCGAAGCCAGTATGGCTGTTTCTTAGAAATATTCATGTTCTAGGCGACTCGACCAAGTACTCTTTGACCGCAAGCGGTTACGCTGCCTCGCGACCCCCTTCATATGAGCCCTCAATAGGCAACACCAGCTGTTGAGTCACTTGCCTATATATCTGACTGGTTCTCGTAATAAACACGCCTTCGATTCCCAATCTCCAACGGTACTCGATAGGTCACAGTTCGAGTTTGATCATCTCGCGAAGATTGACAGCGTCCTGATCGTGAAATCTATCAAGACAACTACTCATCAACGTCGAGTTATCTCAAGCACTCAAATTGCACCAAGCAGCCAAAATGTGTCAAAAAGTCGAGATCCTGATCGTTTGTTGCGAGCAAAACTGCTCAAACGTCTACAACAACGGCCTCCGAAAGCCTCAGATGCGTCTCATTCCCCACCCCGAAACAGCCTTCGTCCTTTGCGGCCAGGCTCTTGACCTCGGCTACATCAGCGACCGCTTTTTCATGGACCTCCCCGTCATGTCCTCCGTCCCCAGAAACTGCCCCGACCTGCTCGAGAACTACAAGTTCCAGCTCGTCCTCTCGCAGGTCGCTTCGAAGCACATCATGGAGCTGGAGACCAACTCGCGCATTCAGTGCAAGACCTGCTCCGGCACGGGAAAGCCCGTGATAGTGTCAAAGTCGGGCAAGAAGTCGTCTTTTCAGTCGACGGCACCGTCTGGCAACGCCCATGTTGAGGCTAAGTGGACGTGTTGTGCCGAGGGCAAGTGTAATCCTCGACAGGAGTGTGAGAGTCATGCTTCTGCCCTTCTGTGTCGGGACTCTGATTGGGCCAAAGAAGGTGAAAGTTGCATCATGAGAGGCGATGGTGATTTTGATCTCGATGTGGAGAAGATTGCTTAGAAGTTGGCCGGTATTGATCAAAGGTAGTCTATGAAAAGTGAGGCGTTTATTAACTTGTGATAAGTTGGCTTGGCATGACATAGTTGTTAGTGGGCAAGTGATGCAGATTGGAACGGAATTTTATATACGCCTAAGTCGACTCATCATCAAAACTTGGCCCTATTCAAGAATTAGCAGTGAAAGGTGACGAGCAGAAGTTGAATTGTGGCATGATGTGTTATGTATCGATATGAAGACCTCGCTTGAGCGTCCACAAAGTGTTCTGGTCTTTGCTCGAGCAATGAAAGTTATTCGCTGTACTGTATGGTCTCTACAACCTAGGTGCAGCGATTCAGGCATGACTCAAGTTGTTAATCATCTCTAAAGCTCATGGACATATGCCGTTGCTCCAGAATGCATCGAGCCCTACATTGCGCCATACAGTGGACCAAGCACGCCATGTGGTTGTCCCAACGCAGAGGATAAGCTTATTTTTGACCTTGCATGGCTTGTTCTGGAACACTTATATGCAGATGCCATTCTGGCTCACATTGCTATCAGAGTCTTGGGACTTGACACGCGCGTGATAGGCTTGCCAATCCTCCCATTTTGTTCCGAAGCGTTGGACTCTGAGCTGATCCACCATGCAGACCTGAAGATTGTCTTGCTCATTTAGAACGAATTGCCAAATTAATGCGATACTTTCGACCACTTTTGGCCGTGGAAACTGCTTGAAGTTATCTTGACTTTCTAGACATACTTAAGTTGCGATTCTCGTCCGCACCGGACGTCATAGATAGCATAGATAGCTCAACACCATCGTGAAAGAGGATCCGGCAGACGGCTAGTCTGTGAAGGAGCGAAATCGAAGACCGTTGGTCCACCTCGATCCCCGAGAATTGACTGCCCAAGAACGAGCTTGGTCCCGGGACTAGTAAGGTAGTAACTTGAACTAGGATCCACTACTATCCATGCTTAACTACTTTCCGTCCCGCCCGTCGGGAAAAGTCCGACTCAACTTGGCACTCACTTGGCAGCGGCATTTGTTGCCCACTCTCTCGCAGAATCCTGGGGTACCTACGGAGTATTCAACTTCAGTTTATCAGACGTTCTTTATTCTCGAACTTTACAGATTCTTATCAACCATCCGAAAACTATGAAGTTGAGCGAACTAAAGCATACTCTCAGATACCCTTACCCAGGTCGTTACAGCTTGCTAGTCATTCTGAGGCGTACATTTGGCTTCAGCCGAAGACGGATCTCACTTTCTGCAAACGGCACCGACCACCGAATTCCGCTGCGGGTTGGCTCCTCCAGGCTGTAGAAATTTTAGCAAATGAGCCCCCACGGTGGATTCGTTGATTCATAGACTGGGACCCAATGTAACCAAAAACATACGAAGATCCCCCACAAGCCGGCACTTTGAGGGAATTTGGTGGTGATGAATTTTATCAATCTCATCTTATCAGATCCTTGATGGCCGTAGGATGGAGACGAATGACGATGATCTCTCAGGTACAGCCGGCGTACTTCTCGGAACAGACCCACACACCATGCAAGATCGCGAGAAAAACCGTCGAAAGCCTTGGTGTTATGACAGGGGCGATGGCAATCTAGAGTGTTTGTTGAAGAAAAAATCGGACGTGAAGCTAGAGTCAATCGACCGATGTCGGGAAACACAGGAATGCCATTGAAGATGTGTGAACTGCAGAGTACAAAAGCCTCGATGGCACTCCTCCCTTTGAGTCTGCCTTGTTCTGTTTCTCAAGGCCTCGCTTCCTGTCAATCATACCCCCTCAGCCTACAGTCATCATGGTCCGCTCTACCTCCCTTCTCAAGGCCACCGCCTTGCTCGGCCTGAGCCAGGCCGCGGCGGCCCAGAACAGCACCACCAGCCCCTGGCCGTGGCAGACCTACCGTTCCGAGCCTGCTCTGCAGCCCCCTTCTCTGAAGATCACTCAGACCGGCGACATCGCCGAGGGTCACCTCTTCTTTGATCAGTCCGGCTCCGGCGGCCACAACTACTCCGTATTCATCATGAGCAATGAGAACGAGCTGATCTGGGAGGGCCCTTACGGCGACATCTCCGCGTGGCGCGCCCAGACTCTCTTCGGAGAGCCTGTCCTCACCTTCTACACCGGAATCACCATGCCGGAGCCCTACGGCTTCGGATACGGAGCTGTCTTCATCTACGACCAGACTTACAAGAACATTTACAATGTTACTCTGGATCAGTACGCCAACGGCCTGAACCTCCAGACTTTCACCGGCTGGGACTCGTCCGGTCTCACCGGCGGCAGCTGGCTGGACATGCACGAGGACTACATCACCACTGAGGGTACCATGTTTGCTCCTGCTGTGAACGTCACCCAGACGGACCTCACCTCCGTCGGCGGCCCTGTCGATGGCTGGATCGTGGACTCGCTCTTCTTCGAGATCGACATCAAGACGAACGAGATCCTCTTCCAGTGGAGCCACCTGGACCACTTGGACGAGATCTCTCTGGCTTCTGCTGCCCCTACCTACCCCTTGGAGGATCTTGGACTCAATCAGACCTACCCCTGGGGACCTTTCCACATCAACTCGATCGAAAGATTCGCTGATGGTGGTTTCCTCATCTCCTCCCGCCACTACTGCTCCATCTTCAAGATCGCCAAGGATGGATCTGTTGAGTGGACCCTGAACGTAAGTACCTGCTCAACCTTTGTCTGAACACGAGCTTCAGCTAACAATGCTAAAGGGCCAAACCGGTGGTTCCTTCGCCCTCAAGAACGGCCTGTCCTTCTGCTACCAGCACGACGCTCGCATCCACGCCGAGGGCAACGGCACCGCCCTCATTTCCCTCTTCAACAACGACAACAGCGGCATCCGCAGCGGCGTCAACGAGACCTCGGGCATCTTCCTCACCGTCAACACCGCCACCTGGGAGGCCACCCTCAAGCAGGAGCTCATCGACCCCAACGACACAATCTTTGCCGTCTCCCAGGGCAACGTCCAGGTCCTCAACGACGGCAGCGGTCACACCGTCATCGGCTACGGCAGCACGCCCAAGATCAAGGAGTTCAACGCCGAGGGCGAGTGCGTCTTCACCGCGCAGTTTGGCGAGGACAAGATAGTCCAGAGCTACCGCAACCACCGCTACCCCTGGGTTGGCAAGCCCTACTACGCGCCCAAGGCTTTCGCCTGCGACGCTGGTAACCAGACCGAGGTGTACATGAGCTGGAACGGCGCGACGGAGAACAACAAGTGGACCGTCTTCGCCGGCGCTTCGGAGGATGCGCTGACTGAGAAGGCTTCTGTTGAGAAGACTGGCTTCGAGACCAAGGCTACTTTCTCCGGCTCGGCTCAGTTTGTGCGCGTTGAGAGCGCTGGTCAGGGCATTGAGACTGGCGTCAGTGAGGTTGTCGCTGTCGAGAGCCAGTGCTAGAGTAGTGTGGTTTTCATTTTAACGCACTCGCTTGGGATTGATAACGAATTCACCTACACCAAGCAAGATCAATTGCTTAGCTCAATAATGTAATTTTCAAATGATCTCTCACGAATAAGCCTGGCGTCAATATAGATGAGTCGTGCATACATCGCGAATGAGCTTGGCATGATGGTTGGTGAGGGAAAACAAGATGCAAGGAACCCGCTGCCATCAAAAAGCTTCTCTTCAGCGCACCTTCCCACTCGGGATGTTATCGGACCCACTAAAGGAATACCGCTGCAACGTTCCCTCTCGGCAACTGGGGCCGAGATAAGACCCCCGCGGCCTCCCGTCCGGAGTTCACGCCTCCACGCCTCGTGTCTCGGTTGCTGCTTCAAGAACGAAGCTTTCCCCGCATTCTTTCAACGTGATCATCACTGCCGGATGCTACAGCTTGGTATCCAATCTTACCACATCAAATCAGCACTTCACTCAATCACAGAATCACGGGCTTCACGTCATTGCCATGGCCACACATCGTCTCGCTACCCGGTCACATCAAGGCGGCGTTTCTGACGGCGATTGGGTTCATGTGAGCGGCAGCCGCGAACAACACGCAGCTACAACCATCTCGAAGTTTATGCCGGAGCGTATTATACGTGTTACCACGGATGAAAAGAATCTCAACAAGTTTTACAATATCAAGTTCTCGGCCACGAGATCTCATCGGTTGGAACGATACTACAATGAAGAGCTCGACAGTCTGTTTAAAGCTCCGTTCGATACCTACAGCCAAGAGGATAAGGTAGACTTCTTACTTCTGCGCAACTATCTGAGGCGCAATCTCCGCGTCTTACTTTTGGATCGTGAGCGAGACGAACTGGTAAAGCCGGTTCTTCCATTCATCCAGCCGCTCATCGAGATATGCGAAGCTCGTCAGAGCATGGTTCCCGTCGACAGCAAAAAGACGGCCATGATACTAAACGAGACAGCAAAGAACATAATTGAAACAACAAAGGCCATCAAAACGAATGGTATCAAGGCCAATGACTCGACATTCTCACGTGCTATGAGCACCATTGACCAAATTAGAGGCCATGTGGATGAGGCCTACAGCTTCTACGCCCCTTACGACCCCCTGTTCCCTTTCTGGTGCGACGCGCCTAAAAAGGAACTGGACGAGGCCCTCACCGGTATCAAGACGGCGATAGACACCAAACTTATTGAGAAAAACGGGTCCGGGTCTATCCGTGCTGCAGTAGAACCCATCGGGCGCTCCGGGCTGATCACTGAGCTCGAAGCGGAAATGATACCCTACACGCCCGAGGAGCTCCTCAAGCTGGCGCAGGAACAGTACGATTGGTGCGAAAAGGAGATGAAGAAGGCTTCACGCAGCATCAAGGTGGGCTCCGTTGGACCGGGGGGCAGTCATGGGAGCGTATCGGGGTATGTAAAGCCGACTGGCCCTTTGCCCCAGATTAGGAACTGACTCTCACTTCTCTAGTCTCGAGGCTCCTGGCGCTGGCTTCGGCGACGACTGGAAGGCGGCGCAGGAATATGTCAAGAATTCATATGTTGAGCCCGGTCAACAGCCTGAGATGGTGCGGCAGCTGGCCTATGAGGGCATGGCTTTTGTGAAGAAGCATGACCTGGTCACGGTCCCAGAAATTGCGGGCAAGTCTCTCTGTGTGCGCCTCTCGGCGAGAATTACAAGCTGACTTCCTCCAGGCGAGACGTGGCGTATGTTTATGATTGACGCAGAACGTCAAAAGGAGTCCCCATTCTTCCTCGGAGGCTCCTCCTTCTGGGTTTCTTACCCCACCGCCGCCATGGACCATGACCTCAAGATGATGGTGATGCGCGGCAACAACCCTCACTTCTCACGGGCGACGGCATTGTTAGCATATTCCTTTGTTTCTATTTTAGAGACGTTCACTACTGACATGACCACAGCCACGAATTAATACCCGGCCATCGTTTGCAGCTGTTCATGGGCAAGCGTCACCATCCGTACCGCGAGCTCTTTTCGACGCCCTTCTTCGTCGAGGGTTGGGCCATGTATTGGGAGTTCGTCTTTTGGAACCGGGGAGACTTTTTCGTGAGCCCCGAGGACAAGATCGGAACACTCTTCTGGCGGATGCACCGATGCGCGAGAATCATCTTCTCCCTTAAGTACCACCTCGGCGAGATGACGCCCCAAGAGTGCGTCGACCTGCTGGTAGACTGGGTCGGTCACGAGCGTTCTAACGCAGAGGGAGAAGTCACGAGATCGTTCGGCGGCGACTACTCCCCGTTGTATCAGGCCGGATACATGCTGGGGGCGTTGCAGATGCACGGTTTGCGGGAGGAGGTGCTGACAAAAGGGTTAATGGGCGAAAAGGAACTCCACGATAAGATCCTGAGGGCGAATACGATGCCAATCGAGTTGCTTCGAGCGCTTCTCCTGAACCAGCCCCTGAGTCCGGACACGGAGGCTCAGTGGAGGTTCTACGACTGAGCAGGAGTTTCGCAATTGTCATCGCCTACATGGCAAGAAGTGACGCGTATCACTTGGTCCTGTACGTTACATTGCGCTCGACCGAGGAAATACCAGCATTTCTAGGGGAAGAATGTCTCTTTTTGATCGTTTCCAACTTTCTTCCCCCCGCAACCCCGGACAGCTCCAGCTCATGCAGCCGCCGATGTGCAATGCGGGGGAAGACGGTGCGGGGCCGCCTCGGTCTTCGGGTTATGTCGAGCGGCGGCGTGGGCTATTGGCCGTGGAACCATAACTATGCCAGCCTCCGCTCTACTTCACGCGTAAGTCGCAGAAACTAAAGCCCACACTTGGCGCCATGATCTACACCCGACCAATGCCTAATCATGGATAACGGTACTGAGCCGAGCCACCAGGGCGAAGCCGCCGATGCGGGCCACGATGACTCGGGGGGCGCTTCGGAGGCTGCGGCGGCCCTCGCTTGCAACTGTTGCCGGCGCCGGAAGCTGCGATGTTCCCGAGAGGTGCCAACATGTCAGCAGTGCCGCAAGACAGGTGGGTTCCTTTTTCCTACCGTGCAGATTATGAATCTTCCTCTTTCCAGGAGTTGACTTGCGATAGGAAGCGATTGTGTTTATGAATCGAAACGGTCCAAGCCGGGGATGAAGGCTGGGGCCATTGAGAACCTGCATCGGAGACTTGGTTCGTCTCGATATGCCGAGTTGCCCTTCTTCGATCGTTACTGATCACAACGTCGAAGATGCGTTAGAAAGGACTGTTCACCAACAACGGACTAAGAATTCATCAAAAGACTGCAGACAATCCGATTCAAATCACTCACCTAATCAAGATGATGCCAGTGGCTCCAATGGCGCCCTCGAAAAGAATGCATATAGCATCATGGCATTCTTCGCCAAAGAGCTACAAAAGTTCAACACTAAAAGCGGAAGCTCACCCAGCGAAGAGCGTGCGGAGACCGAGTCACCAGTACGAGCCAAGCGGCGTCGACTTGATGATCATGAACCTTTTAATATTGCCTTCACGTGTAATTCCAGCCCTACTTCGCCTGTCTTGCCAGATGAAGAGGACCTTGAGATTGTACTCAAGGCTTATTTTGCACACATTCATCCATGGATTCCGATTATACACGAGGCGAGATTCCGCCGTCGACTTCGAGAGCCCGGAGAAGCCAAACTTTTGCTTGCAGTATTACATGCCATGGTCCTTTCTGCGTCAAGATACATATCTGACGAAGATGTTGCGACCAACTTATTCGGCACGCTCCAGCAAAGAGGCATCACCCGTGATTGGATCGTGTCAACATCGATGAAAACGTTCGACGTGGAAAGCCACCAAGCTCTCATCATTGTCGCATTCAACGATGTAGGTGTTTCGATATCCGAATCTTCTCGCATGGCACGCGCTGACATAGATAGATTGGAAGTGGTGAGGCTGCAAAAGCCTGGTCTCTCGTTGGTTCACTGACCCGGACCGTCGAGTATCTCCAACTCACCGTCGAACACGACGACGTCGACCGGCCATCACTATCTCAACCTTTCGTTTCACTCGCTCCGCCAGAAAGCTGGACCGAGGCCGAAGAGAGGCGCCGGGTCTTTTGGAACGTCTTCAAGCTCGATAGACTCATCTCAGTCACCATGGGCTGGAACACAAGTCTAACCTCAGACGACGTGCACTGCCGTCTCCCCTGCGACGGCGTTCTCTGGCGTAAAGAAGACGAAGTCGTGACACCCTACTTCGGGATATGGGACAAAGCCGCCGGCAGAATAGGCAACCCCATTGCCTTCATCCCGTCCCACTACGCGCCGGCATTGCAAGTAGGTGCCTCAGAGGAAGAAACCCATACGCCCTCCGACGCCGGCACGTCACCGGGGGCGCCGGCCGCCAGCGTCGACATGTCTACCGTCGGCGCCTTTGCCTACTGCATCGAGGCGACCGAGTCCCTGAGCAGGGTCACGAGCTACTTCCTTCAGCAAAAGATCAACATGCGGGACCAACGCGACATCAGTAGCTGGCTCACACGCTTCAAGGAGCTCGACCTGCGCCTGGTCCACTGGAAGATGCTCCTGCCCCAGAAATGGAAGGCCAATATGGCGCGGCAGTCGACGCGGATGGATCCCAACCTCACGCTGGCGCACGTCACGCACAATACGTCCATGATTCTGCTCCATCAGCTGATTGCCTTCCCTCCGAGGGAGTGGCCTTTCAGGGCCCGGCTGCCGAGTATTCTGAGCGCGGACACGTGCCAGGCTGCCGCCGTGGAGATTGCTATCATTGCGGAGAATTACTTGAAGCACGCGCCTGCGGTGATGCCTGTTTCGAGCCAGTTTGTGTTCTGTATCTATGTGGCCGCCAGAGTGCTCCTCCTTCGATGGCGGTATGATCTCGGGACTGAATTGGCTTCCGAGTTCTGGTCGCTGGTTCAGATTGTGAATGATATGGCGACACGATGGGCTGGCCCGCACAGCTTAGAGCCTGCGAGAGACAACTTGGCTGGGAAGTATTCGAGGAAGCTCACGGAGATGCATTTACGTTGCCGCGATGATGCAACTTTCAACGTCAACGTCCTAGGCTACACCACAGAAATCGATCACACAGCTGCTCAGGAGCCTCCGTTGTCTGCCCACATCAGACGGAATGAGACCGGGAGACATGAGGGAACCACTACCAATAGACGAAACAGGCGGTTCGCAGATACACAGGTCGAGCCCGCTGCAGGTAGTCTCGACACCATCGTCGTGGCTCAACCGCTCCCATCCAACATTCCCGCATCATTTACCAATCCAACGCAGAGCGCAATGCTCCTAACCCCAGGGCTAGGCGTCAATGGCGCTGAGCCGATGGCCCAGCCCTCCCTGTACCACAGAAGCAGCGTCGGTAGTGGCGATTTGAGCAATATTTCCCAGATGCTCCTTGACCAGCAATTCATGGACATGGATAGAATCATCAGCTATGATGACGGCATTTTCGAAACTGAATACGATGGTGGAGGATGGTAAAAAGCAAGAGTCTCTATTGGTTTAAAGTAAGCCAGGTCTATAATCGGGAAACGGCACTAACACTCTACGCCAAACCCATATTCAAAAGCCTGTTTCCAAAATCAACGAGATAGTAATCACCGTAAACGAGGCCATGATTCCAGTATCTTCGTCTAGCATTCTCGTTGTTATTGGCCGTTCCGTGCTTGATGATGCCATCGAAACATCGGCCAGCGGTGGCATCTTCCACTTTCAATCCCGCCTCGCTGCTAGCTCTGGTGAACTGAGATTTTTCATCTGCGAGTGAGTAATCGAGGGTGTCTCGGACGATCTCAACCGCCGCGTCGAAGAAGCGCCGCGACAAGGCATGTTCTTGAATGCCTTTGAGTGCTTGCGACAACACCAACATGCCGTTAGCAGCAATCACCGCGGCCGATGAATCTCGCAGAGGCTCCGCGGCGTTTTGTATCGGGGCATCAAAGTCCCAAAGAGGGACTCTTCGGCCTTTGGTCTTCTTTCGCTGCCCATCTCGAGAGCAACAGTTCGTCTCCTCGTCAGCCACTGGTGTATCCACACACGACGGCGCCGTGTCGAGCCTGTAAAGGAAGTACTCTGCAGCACCCATGGCGGCCTCGAGGAAAGCTCTGTCTCGAGTCCACTGGTAGGTCTGAGCATACCCCAGGATCGCCCACGCCTGGCCACGGGCCCACGTGGAATCGTTTGCGTATCCCTGTGCCGTCCAGCGCCACTTGAGATCTCCGGTAGCCGGATCGATATTGGCAACGTGGCATGTTGAGTAGAGCTGACCTCTGTATCCGTTTTTCTTCAGCGTGCTCACGGATTCCGGTCGGAGGTGCGTGTGTAACAGTGTACGGGCGTGCGTTGTGGCGATGTCGGAGAGGGTACTGTCGCCAGTATGTGCTGCAGCGTAGAAGAGCAGGTCCAGATTGCATAGGCTGTCAATGATTGCGAGGAGATTCGTCGTCATGTCGGTCACTGTGATGTCCTTCTTCAAGAGGCAGTCCCAGCTGCGAATAGCTCCAGCGGCGGGGACATAACGCGTTGCGAGAGAATGCGCAGCCCTGACGATGGAAGCGAGGCTTTTCTCGTTACCGTTCAGCTCCCAGTCCCTCTGCAGCGCTGGCATAATGATAAATCCGATATCGTGCGTGTCCGTTCGGCCGGCCATGCCGTGCAAGGGATCGGCCCAGATCTTGCATAGTCCCCGCAGATGCTGGCGGAGACTGGCAACACTGAGCCCGGGCCCGGCATTGGCGAGTCCCATCGTTTGCGGGTGCTTGACGCTTCGCTCCAATAGGGCATACAGCGTTCCCGGGAAGAACCCGCAGGTCCAGAACTCTGGATCTCGGAACTCGTACTGGCCCGCATTGGGGCCATTCTGGGGTACGATCTCTGGGAAGGCGATCGGGATCTTCCGAATCTCGCCAAAAGTCGAGGACACTTGCTCTCGAAGAGACTTGGTCGCGGTGCGGCAGATTTTGGCTGTGATATTCTCTTCGAACAGTTCGGCGAGGTAGGTAGAGAGCGATATGGATGGTTGGAAGGCTGGCCATTCGCTTATTTCTACCGCGGCATCAGACCATGAGGTTTCACTGGTGATGTCTGCAGACAACTCTTCTGGTGGCAGAGTTGATATTGAAAGAGGTGGTTCGGAAGACATGCTGTCGAGACGCGGAACCGTAGACAGCTTGTCCACAACGGCCTCCTGAGAGTGGGCGTGCTTTGTCATGGCCGGTAAGCTTTTCATAACAGAAGCGGCCATGCTGAATACTTCTTTGCTTCAAAATCCGAATTTGGGATTCCAAACGATGTTTTGCTCATAGGATAGACGTGACATATGCCAAAGTTGTCATTTTGTACATCTTTCAGAAACCCAAGCCATCACATGATTGATAATCACCAAGACCTTGATGCAAACCATCAACGTCAACGGCCCGTCGGAAGCGAAGGCATCTATTCCATTGAATCGGACCCGCGGCTGATGTCTCGGTGAAAGATCCTCGCGATGCATCCTGTGTTGGACCGCCCATTTGCGACGCAACAGTCGGGGTATTGATGCCCCTCATTCCCGAGGACAATCCTCCGAGCAAGTGTCGTTGGCTAAGTTCGGCGGTCGACCGCAAGGAACTTCTCCACACCCCATTCTTAGAGTCGGGCATGCGTAGACTGGGGTAGGGATTGCGGGGAAGACATCAAAGACAACATTGCTTGGCCTTTGCTACCGTCGGCGGACTACTCCAGCCTGTCAACATAGCTCTGAGAGTGATGGCTTATTTCGAAGTGATATAAAGTGTGGGGTTACATCACCAAGAACTTCACTCGGACAGTTGAGATGTTCAGAGATACGGGATTTCTTTACTCGCCATTCTTAACCTCAGCAACGATTTACAACCTGGACTGCCTCTCAATCTCATAGGGATCTGATTGCAGCCCACCATGGCGGATAGAGTCAGTCTCGATAGGACTGCTCGAAATGCGAATCCAGCTGCCACGATGAAGCCTCTCGATGACCAAGAGCTGGTTGTAAGCTCTTCGACGCCCAAGCCACAGACGAGATCATTGTGGGTCGCTTGGCTCTACATCTTTGATTGGTACCCCAGCCACTACTCCAAGGAAGAGAAGAAGTTGCTTCGAAAGCTTGGTACAGTTCCGCTCATCCATGTGTTTGAGTAGATGCTAATGACGGTTCTGAGCAGACAGTATTCTTCTCTCCCTGTGCTGTTTGATGTGTATGACTTTGCTGTCAACCTGTTTGTTCGTGCAAACACTAACATGAGAGCAGTCTTTTTGAAATGGCTCGACTCAGCCAATATCAACCACGCCTACGTCTCAGGCATGGAAGAGGACCTGAAACTTACAGGAAATCAGTAAGTGAGCCTCCAGTTGATGTTACTGCCCCCGAGTCTGCTTGTGTCTAATCAATTTTGCCAGATACTCGCTCTTCGGAACATTCTACAACATCGGCTACCTCATCTTCGAGATCCCCTCCATGATGATCATCTCCCGCCCACACCTCACCCGCTGGTATCTCCCCGCAATGGAATGCCTCTGGTCCATCACGACCTTCGTTCAGTGCAAGCTCCGCAACGAGTACGACATTTACGGTATCCGCTTTCTCCTCGGCGTCCTCGAGACCCCGGCCGCCACGGGCGCAATCTACCTCCTAACCTCGTGGTACCGCAGCGACGAGCTCTTCAAGCGCGCGGGCGTGTGGTACGTCTCGTCCAACATTGGCGCCATGTTTGGCGGGTACCTCCAGGCCGCGGCGTACAACAACCTAAACGGCGTCGCCGGCATGGCCGGCTGGCGGTGGCTTTTTATCATTGACGGCATCATAAGCTTGCCCATCTCGATTGCGGGGTTCTTTCTGTTCCCTGGCTTGCCGACGAGTCCCAAGGTCTGGTGGCTCACGGATGCGGAGCAGAAGCTTGCCCAGGCGCGGATGAGAGATGACGGGGTCAAGGAGAGCAAGAGGATTGGCAAGAGGATGCTGAAGCGCGTCTTTACTCATTGGCACTTTTACCTCGCCGTCTTCACCTACGTCTTGTAAGTCACGAGCAGTGTCTCGGGCCGACTTTGCATGAAACTGACACCATGATCTCCGTAGCTTCCAATGCACCTCTTACGTCGCTGGCCAGATGGCACTCTGGCTCAAGCATGAGGCCACCCTGCACGGCACCTACACCGTTGCGGAGATCAACGTCATCCCCACTGGCGTCCAAGCAATTTCCATCGTGGCCGGTGTCGTTGCCACTTCGCTGTGTATGATCTACCCCATCTGGGCCGTCATGTGCGTCGTGGCGGGTGTCCTCTTCTTCGCGAATGTCTGTCTCCTGATTTGGGACATTCCAACTGGGTTGCACTGTAAGTCTTTTGCATCGATCTGACAATGAGAGTTTTCTTGCTCATTGAAACACAGTTGCCGCCTACTACATGCTTGGATTGACTAGCTGCGTAAGTCCTTGCTCACTTGTAAAACAACACGATTACGAATGCTTATTCTCGCAAAGTTCACACCAATCTTCTTCCCTTGGATCAACATGATTATGAAAGACGACAACGAAGCCAGAGCCTTCACTACTGGTGCCATGGTAAGGGATTAGACTACATCATCCACATCCGTCATTGTCGGAACCGCCTGCTAACAGTCTCTTCGCTCAGATGACTTGCGGTTGGATCTTCTTCAGCTTCTACCCAATCACGGTCTTCCCAAAACTAGAGGGTAAGTGACTATACACCATCACCATATTCAAGCAGTCGGAAAATTTTCATGCTGATATCTCAACTCCTCCATCTAGCTCCCAAATGGCGGAAAGGTTTCACTGTCAATACCACGTTCGTAGCCATCTGGTGGACTCTCTTCATGCTTGGACAGTACCTGTGGCGTCGCGATATTAAGAAGGGGAAGTATAAGACGACCGAGACGGACTCTGGCAGCGTTCAGGACATCAAAGGAGACGACATGATGCATGTCGAGGTCTCTAGCGAGAAGGACTCCAAGGTGTAGATTTTTCCCCGACTGAGAGGGTGTTAGAGTGGTATGCTTCTGTGTAGTCTCGGAGGAAACAGTGAGCAATTAATGATCTAACCGGCTGAGAACGCTCTGAGGTGTATCAGTACTCCGTGCGCTTGTGACGGAGGTGGTTGGTCCCATGATCTGGAGCTGCCTGAGAACGGGGCGAAAGTGCCCATCTTCTAAGGGGTTTCGCATCTTTCCCCGCCTAACACACCGAAGTGGAATTCAACCCATCTTGACCACCAAATTTTGATTCTTCTGTCCTTTCTTTGATACACAATTCAACATTTTCATGTCGTCAATTGAATGACTTACACGGAGTGGAGGCCCGTCGACAAAGCCGCTGCTACGGGGTTCGTCCGTTCAGTACGTGGAGCCTGTGGGCTAAGGTCGCGGGATTCGTCCGTTAGTGTCCTCCCACCGGGCACAACGCAACTCGGTCTGGAATTGATTCAACCACAGGACCGTTGTCTGAATTATTAGATATCCAAACGTATCAGTATCATGGCTTTTACTCCCGGCTCTCAAAGACGACATCAAATTTTCCAGCGAAAGAAGAAGCTCAAGGACTTAGCCTACGTCGTTCACTCGCAACATATCTACAATGACAGTCGTCCACATAGGTAACCCCCCAATACTCGCTTCCCACGCCTCACACCATCGAAACAAATTCTAATCTTAATCCCCTCGAAGTCTTATTCAAGTTCCGCTCCGATGTCTCGGAAGACCACAAATCCACATTCGTCCGCGAACTCAAAACCCTCAAATCCCTCCCCTGCGTCAAAGACCAACGCCTCATCGTCGGCGGGCCCTCCATCACGGATCCCATCGAGAGGAGCAAAGGCTACCACTTTGCGCTACTGAGCTTTCATCAAGACCGAGAAGCGCTGGAGACGTATCAAGCTAGTCCGGAGCATCACAGGTAAGAAGCAGCTCACCCCGCGTTTGCTTTAAGGAGCCTCGAGACGAATATGAAGCTGAACCAAAGAAATCTTTCGCAACTTTATAGAGTAACGAGTACATATTTGTGGCCTTTCAAGGAGGATGTAACCAGATTTGACTTTGAGGTTGACCAGGAGGACGAGTATATGTGCGAGTTTATGGCCAAAGGGCTGGCAAATGGGTCGGCGTAGACTAAGAGGACTGGCGTCCACATACAATTCGAATCGTAATTAGAATATAGACTTGTTAGAAATCCAAGCTCAAGCATAAGATTCTCATCAATACCATTAAATGATTTTAAACTTCTGTTGTCCAGGCGCGTAAAGTGGTATTTTTGCGCTGGCCCATATCACCATTTCTGATGTGACTTCGGTCTTGGAACTACTCCCTCAGGTCGCAGAAACGACTTCTCGATCCTGCGTGACAAGGTCTTAAGTGATACAGTATTTACACATAATATGATGACTTGCAACTCTAAGTACGCCCCGTAGACGAAGTAATCCCCCCATCAACAACAATTTTCTGGCCCGTGATGTATCTCGCTTCATCAGACGCCAAAAACGCCGCCGCATTCGCAACATCCCACGCATCCCCCATCCGTCCCATCGGCACTTGCTCATCCCTCATTCTCTTGAACGCGTCATACCCGCCGCCACCACCAGGCTGCCCGTCCTTGGGCGCAAACCTCTCCGCCAACTGCCTCGTATACGGCGTCTCCATCAACCCAGGCACAACCGTATTCAACCGCACCCCTCGCTTCGCATACACCACAGCCGTCGCCTTGACAAACTGCATCACAGCCGCCTTGGTCGTGTTATACGCAACCTGCGGCTTACCAATATACCGCAAACCCGCAATACTCGACACACAAACAATACTTCCACCCCCCTCCTGCGCCTCCATGACAGGCAGAACGTGGTGACACGCGAGACACACGCTCTTCAGATTCAACTCCACCTGCGCATCCCACGTCTCTTCTTCCATACTTGCCGCACAACCCGGTTGCGACCCGCCGACGTTGGCGAGCAGAATATCGATGCGGCCGTGCTTCGCGACGCACGCGTCCACGAGCGTCTTGACGGACGCGGAGGACGTGGCGTCGGTCGCGACAACGTCACATACGCCGCCGGCTTGCTCGATGGTGGTTTGAGTCTTGGTGGTGGATTCGACGGTGCGGTTGCCGCCGAAGATTGCGGCGCCTTGGGCGGCGAAGGTCACGGCGCAGGCGGCGCCGATGCCCCAGCCGTCTGTGCCTGATTGGCCGAGGCCGATGACCAGGGCGACTTTTCCTTGGAGGTTGAGCATGGCGATGGATGGATTTCGGGGCGGAAAAGGTTTTGCTGAAGCGGAAACGCGGGTGGTAATGTTCAAGCTGCAGCGAGATGCCTTCGGCGAATGTGCTGAGATACCGAACAAAAAGTCATCTTGGGGCTGGATATAAGTATCAATGATGCATGTAACTACATGTTCTATGCATCAGGCATATTTCGAGGTCCTACGAGGACAAGTCCGTTGACGGTCCTGTGGTCCGCGAGCACTTAGACGGAGAAATCCCGACGGCGCCGAAGACGATGCGGCCGCTTTGCTCCCGTCGTCTTATTACCGAATTGGACCGGGCGATTACGACATGCGGAGTCCCCGCATCTACAACACGACTTCGGATAAGTCTGATTCGGACCAACCATAAGATGAGGAATTGTAATTCCCGCCGTCGCATTACATCGCTCTTTCGAGGTGTCTCTTTACACTCAAAGACAAGATAATCACAGCAGACATGAGCGACCAAACAGCAACCCCAAAGAAAGAAGACGGCAAGGCCCCGGTGACGGGAGACTATGACCTCTCGACACCAATTGACCCCAACGCCCCGGGGTTGAGGCAGGGCCTGACATCCTATGGCGACGCTCATTTCTCGTTGTTTCTGCGCAAGGTGTTTATCAAGGCTCTTGGGTACAGTGAAGACGCGCTCTCGAGGCCCATTATCGGCATCGTCAACACCTACTCAAGCTTCAACCCGTGCCATGCAAACGTCCCACAGCTGATCGAGGCCGTGAAACGCGGCGTCCAACTCAATGGAGGACTGGCGATTGATTTTCCGACTATCAGTATCCATGAGAGCTTTGCGTCGCCGACGAGTATGTATCTGCGGAATCTCATGAGTATGGATACGGAGGAGATGATCAAGGCGCAGCCGTGTGATGCGGTGGTCCTCATCGGAGGTACGTGAGCTGTATTAAACCAGGTTGGAAGATGAGATGAGTATTGACTGATTCGGACAGGTTGTGATAAGACAACTCCTGCGCAGTTGATGGGTGGCATATCGGCGAACAAGCCTATCCTACATTTGGTCACTGGCCCCATGATGCCGGGAAGCCATAAAGGTGTGAGAATCGGTGCTTGCACAGACTGCCGTAACAACTGGGCTGCCTATAGAGCTGGCAAGATTGATATCGAAGATATCTCGGCTATCAACGACGAGCTGGCACCCACGGTAAGGATATTCCGTCACTCGAATGAAAGTCTCATCTGCTGACCGCCGTGACAGGGAGGTACTTGTGGTGTGATGGGCACCGCATCGACGATGGCCTGTATCCTCGTCGGTCTAGGAATGATGCCGTTTAAAGGTGCTACAGCTCCAGCGGTCTCATCAACAAGATTGCGTATCGCCGAACAGACTGGAGGCCTAGCTGTGGCCCTCCATCAGAAGAAGCTCACACCGCAAGATCTGCTTACCCGCGAGTCTTTTCTGAACGCAATCACCGTCTTGCAAGCCATTGGCGGGTCGACCAACGCCGTTGTACACATGATGGCCATCATAGGTCGTCACCCTGCTGTAGCCGGCACAATCACGCTCGACACATTTGATGAAATCGGAAGAAAGACCCCGTTGTTGGTCGATCTGAAGCCTAGCGGACAAAACTACATGGACGATTTCCACAATTCTGGCGGCATGCTGGCGCTTTTGCACCAACTCAAGCCCCTTTTGCATCTGAACGCCATGACAGTAACAGGCAAGACGCTGGGAGAAGAGTTGGAACGCACGCCATTCACCCCTATTCCACGGGACAGCTTGGTCAACTGTCTTCAGCCTTTCAACGATCCTCTGTACCCAGCTTCGGCCTTGGCTGTGCTCCGTGGCAACATTGCCCCAGGCGGAGCTGTAACGAAGCAGAGCGCTTCGAAATATCGCCGACTACTGAAGCATTCCGGTCCCGCAGTCGTCTTCGCTGGCTCCGCAGACATGGCCCTTCGTATCGATGACCCAGATCTCGAGGTGACGCCCGATAGCGTACTCGTACTCCAAAATATCGGGCCTGTCGGTAATCCAGGTATGCCAGAAGCGGGACTAATACCGATTCCCCGAAAGCTCGCAGCTCAGGGAGTCGAGGACATGCTCCGCCTATCTGACGGCCGCATGAGCGGTACGGCGGGCGGGACTATCGTTCTGCACATTTCTCCCGAAGCAGCGGACCCCGAATCGGTTCTTGGTATCGTCAGAACTGGCGACATCATAACCTGCGATGTGGAACAACGCCTCATCAAAGTCGAGATATCCGACGAGGAGATTAAGAAGAGAATTGTCGCGAAAAAGGAAGCCTTGGCCAAGGAAGAGGAAAGTGGCGGCAGCAATGCGCCTTGGGTGGCAAAGAAGAGAATTCGCGGTTATCGAGGACTGTATCTGCGTTCCGTCATGCAGGCAGAGGGGGGAGCCGATTTTGACTTCCTGACGGCGAATGGTCCACCCCAATAGTCTTAGACAATCAAGATGCAAATGACTCTTGTATAATACATGCTCATGAACAGGACTGGATATCAGGTGAAGCTCGGATAAGTTGGTATAAAGTCATCAAACAGGCCTCGCATGATGCTATCCAGATTCGCGTTGTCGCCGGTGTGCATTGGGTCACCAAACGCAGTATTGGCGAGAAACGATTCGAATGGATCTTGATGCAGGAAGCTTTCTGAGCCACTTTCAGTCGCAGAGCTCAATGGCAGTGGTTGGGCAAAGCCTTCTGAGAAGTTCAGTCTGTGGGGTTCCGCCCCAACAAGGCTGGCACCCTCGTTGTATGAGCTTATTGTATGCGAGTGCGCGGGATCTAGTCGCAGAGATCGACGTTGAGCAGGGGGTTCTACATCGAAGGTCTGACTGGAAATGTCTTTGACCCATCGGATGGTTGCCCGGATCATGTCATCCAAGATATCGCGGCAACGTTTTGCTCCGGACCAGTGCTCGCCCGTTGCAGCCAAGACTCCTAACCCGGCGCTGAAGTCAGACATGAGGGCATCCAAAGCCGTCTGCTTTGCTATCTCGGGCACCATCTTCAGACAGTAAAGCATAGTGATAATGCTGAGGACTGCTGAGTGACAAGTATTCCACGTATGTATGAGTAAGTTCTTCTTGTACAGCTGATCAAAAAGACGGATGACCTCAAGAGCGGCTTTAAAGCACTTCTTGAGGATCTCGGGCGATGGATTCGGGATGGCGGGGCTAGGCCGGAGAACGAGCATCCGCAGACCGTAGCATCGGATCTGACAGATGGTGCGGATGTAGTCGGAGTCGGGTGTGTTGGGGATTTGGCTGTACCACTCGTCTAGCTGTTCCAACATTCCTTGCTGCCACTCATTTATGTCAATAACCGCCGGGTAGGCGTAACGCGGTGTGTCTCGGACAATGCTGTTCGCAACGTATTTGAACTCCGAGTTAAGTTTGGCTAGACGGAACAGATGTATCGAGAAGGCCATGTGACCCGGGGGTTGATTGGCAGGTGGCTGGAGTGATCCTTGCAAGGAAGCATCTTCTATATGCTGTGGAAGCTAAGAGACTGTTAGGATGGGTTGGCTGAAGGACCATATACTGGGGCGGACATACCCGAAGATCGCATGCCTCGTCTCGCAGTCCAATCGGGCGACCCATCATAGTCGCGATCATCCTATCCAAAGTGAAAACCACCCAGAATATCCTAGTCCTCATTTCCTGTTCAAGAAGGGAGATACCTGCGTTAGTGTTGATGTCACGCTGCAAGCCCAAGTCAAGGACAGCAGCGATGCACTGATAGTTCAGGTACCATACGTTGAGACGCATATTGGAACTGTGCATTGTGAATATCGTGAGCAAAAGAAGACATTGCAGTCCAGGAATCGAGCTGTCGATGCTGATTCGATCGAAACTCTGCATCGCAGATAGGCAATATGACTCTCCGGGAAGACGTGCCCTCACTCGACGAGAGAGCACCGTGGACCCCAAAGCGAGGACCATAAATACTTGGAAGGCAGCTGTGGGAGCAGATTCCACATCGATCCTGTTCTCGTACATTTGATCCATCAAAGCCATGAAGCTAGGCTGATGCAAAACGGGGAACTGGCAGTTGATAACGTCAAAGTAGTTATCTGCTAGCTGCTTCGCATGATGTCTGCTTGGCAGTGACATTGGGCCATGCATCGCCTCAACGAGAGCAGTTGGTATGGACGGATTCGATACTCCGGTTTTGATTGGCCAAGATTGGTCATCCTGCCGGTTCGAAGTCAACATCAGTCGGGCGAGGAAGTATCCGCTCGACGGCCCGATATACTTCGGGTCTTGGCTACTGCCCAATGACACCATGCCAATCTCGTGTGATAGCGTACTGCTGGCAATGGGATCGACCAAACGAGGTCCTGAACGGATAGCCTGAGTGGCTTGCACTGGCTCTGAAGGTTGAAGCGGCTGTGCTTGTGGAGGCTGACTCCCTGTGAGGTTCAGACTATCCTCGGGCGATGCACTGTTGACTCTGATTGTTGAGTCCCTTGCAAAGGTTTCATCACCGTCAAGTTCCATGTCAAAATCCCCAGACGGGCCTTGACTTAGGTCGACTTCGGGGCACCTTTCCCTTACAATGCTCTCGAGCCACTTGACTCTCTCGATCAAGTTCGAAATTTGACTAGCTGAATGTCAGAAACATGTGCGAAGGTGGGAACTTTGAGAACAGCCATACGCTCTGGGAAGATCCCGAAGACGGACACTCTCGCCGTCAGTGCAAGCAACTCCGGCCTTCTTGCAATTGTTGCACGCAGGCAATTGCCCGTCGCACTATCAGACACCCACTCAGTACCATGCCATCTTCAATTGAGGTTCGGAGGTCCACTTACACGGATCTTCCGCCGCTGGCACCGAGAGCAAGCGAGCCTCAATCGCGCGGTTCTGCGGGCCTGACGGGGTGTCAGCCGGGAGCTGGTATCTTCGGGCATATTGCGTTTTTCGGGGCGGCCAGTGCTTGGCTGGTTTCCGTCATAACATTAGGAGAGCGATGTGGTGTTTGGGTAGGTTGAAGGGAACGAGGCGGAAATTCTCCGAGGTGGAACAGAGGATGAAGTTGGTTGACAGTAGTGGCCCCAGGCCGTGCGGGGAAACCCCGTGGCGTCAGACCCTTTGTTAATTTGCTGTGCCGGGGTTTGCCCGCACTATCGGCTGAATTCCGTCCGGATGCGTGTGCTTCACTGCTCTCTTCCTCGCGACGCCATTTACTTGCCTTAGTATATCATGAGAGGCCATGCTAGGTTCGAAAATCGTACCCCATATCCAATCAATCCTGTAGCCATTGATACGACAGATATTGCCGTGCAATACTCCACATCATCTCCCAACCTTGCACGGCACACCTTCCGCAATTCTGCGCCTCAAACTCCGCATAGCCATTCAGCAAGATGGCTGACGAGTCCCAAAAGATACCAGTGGCCGCTTCGGAGGCCCGTCGTCTGGTTGAAGACATCCTCAAAGGCAATGGCGTTCCCGAAGAAAACTCAAAGATAGTCGCCCGGTGCCTCGTCGCTGCCGACCTTCGCGGTGTCGACACTCACGGCATGAACCGCATTCCTTCCTACATGGAGCGTGTCCGCCAGGGTGTGCTCAACGCCACAGCCCAGCCCGAGCTGAAGCAAGTCACACCGGTTGTGGCGCACGTCGACGGCAAAAACGGCTTCGGCTTCGTTGCGGCAGAGATGGGGATGGCAGCTGCCATCGAGTCTGCCAAGACTTTCGGCATCGGCATGGCAAGTGTGTCGCATTCCAACCACTTTGGCATGAGTGCGTGGGTGGTGCAGCAGGCTCTTGATGCGGACATGATGAGTTTGGTGTTCACCAACTCGAGTCCTGCGCTGCCGGCGTGGGGCGGGCAGAGCAAGCTCATGGGTGTTTCACCGATTGCTTGTGGTGCGCCGGGGAAGGACAAGCCTTTCATCCTGGACATGGCCCCGTCAGTCGCGGCCAGGGGCAAGATTTACAAGGCCAAGAGACGCGGCGAAAAGATTCCTCTTGACTGGGCGCTAGATGCTGAGGGACGTCCTACGGATGATCCCACCGCAGCATTGGGAGGTGTCATGCTGCCGATGGGTGGCCCCAAGGGTTCGGCATTAGCAATCATGATGGATGTGTTCTCTGGTGTCTTTTCTGGCTCTGCTTTCGCTGGTCACGTCACTAACCCGTACGACCCTTCAAAACCAGCGGACGTCGGCCACTTCCTAGTCGCCATCAAGCCAGACCTCTTTATGAGTCTGGACGACTTCCGTGAAAGGATGGACTATTTGTACCAGCGTGTTGTTGGGTCAGACAAGGCGGCAGGAGTAGACAGGATATACTTTCCGGGTGAGATTGAGCAGTTGCAACAGCAGGAACGGGAAAAGACAGGCATACCCTTGGTACAGGCTGAGATTGATGCTCTCAACGAGGAGGCAACAAAAGTTGGCGCCAAGCCTTTGGTAACCCAGGTAGCTGCATGAACTATACCGCTTAACGCCACTCTTAGGAAAGCACTCCATGTTTCATCGAATCTCTGTGGTTCTTCGAACGGGGTCTAGCGAGGCCTTTTTGTTTTTGGTCATGGCTTCCAGTCAGAATGGAACTGGATGACAACTCAGGGAAGTTTCTCCTTGGCCTAAGGTGATCTTGAGACGCCTAGTAATGGTAGTTGACCAGGCTGAAGTGCCGAGACCAGCAAACTTCCTTGTGTTCAAGTCATCATCATCTCATACGTATTCTAGTTGGCATTCACTATTGAGGAGAGAAAAGTAGAGATGATCGTAGATACAATCTAGAACTCTAAAATTGACGATACTCGGAAGAGTATCCTGGCGGTCACTGGTACGAGCGGTGTTTTTTTTTTATTTTTTCCAAGGCCATTGATACCATCTTCCATTTCCTCCAAGATCAATCGATCCAACGTATGGACATCAAGTGCCTGAGATTACTTTGGTGAGTTACGCAAGGCTCCTTCTTACTTTCTACAAGACAAGTTCCCATTCTTACAGACTTGGCAGGAGAGTCAGCTCGGCCCCTTTCCTGGAAAACCGAATCTTTAACTATGCCTTCCCTTCTTCGCCAAAACTTTTGTTTGAGGAAGTGACACTCAATTCGCAGCGGAAACTTCTTTCCAAAATGTAGCTGCCGCAAAACAGACTGTTGATGTACTCGGAGACTTTTGGTAAACCAGACTTCGATTCTTCCCACGTCGTCTCACTCCCAGACAACATCACCCACGCCTACCATCCATCCCAAGTTCAATCCAATCAACACCCATTCATTCTATCGTTCTTTTCTTGGACTCCCCATCATCACCAATATTCATCATGAAGTTCACCACTATCGCTACGTCTCCGCTGTTGCTTGGCTCAGCTTCACTCGTCACCGCAGTGTCTCCTTCTGTACCACTGAATCAGGCTATTCCCCGAGGCATCTCCAGCATCAACCTTCAAGGCACCGACGTCGATCAGAAGAACGATGGTCGTCTTTGTTTCACCCTTGGTACTTTCGACTCTCATTTCGGCGAGTATGATGTATCTCTGGTCGATGAATCTGTCGACGGGCATCTAGCCAATGGCTTCTGCTACAATCATGCTACCAAAGTCGTCCAAGACAGCCAAGGGAATGATTGTGTCTTCGACGATACAGTCAGCAACCTCCGTTGCTCTGCCGAATCTCCTAAGACCAAATTTGACCTGACCATTCGCCAACCACCAGCCGTCGATTACTCCAATACATCGGTACGCCCTGAAATGACGCCGTGTACCTCTCTGTTGAGAACCGTATGCTTGGCAAAGGTGAAAGCCCAGTGCGCTTGGTGCTCTCATCACACTACGGATCCTGAGTGTCACAAAGCTACCTTCTGTCCATGGCGTTTGAGTCCCAAATACGGCCTCTCCAGCTCGCCCTCGCCCTCTCCCACTCCGGTATACGACGGAAGCCGGTGCACAGGAGGCAAGCCTTTCCTCCCTGCTTGGCACCAGTATTTGAGATGGTGTCGAGATCACCCCGAGTCGATCAGATGCCCCTATCTGCCGTGGACTTTGAATCCAAAGACAATTCATTCAGACAACGCATTCAACGATGCCATCGGCTTCATCTGGTGTAATCTCCTTGGTCGGTGTCAACATTCCGATATCTCCGCAATAACGCCACCAAAGACCGTCCAAGCAATTCAAAACGCCCTGGAACACGTCTGCACGAGGTATCCGCCCACGTGTCCCTTCATCCCTCCTGTCATGGAGGTCGTCTTATCTTCCATGGAAGTCATTGCCGACGTCTCAAGGCTAGCCACAGCTTTCTTCACCGGCCATGGTCTTGAGGACTACAGTCGCCCAGCCTTGCCAAAATCTCCCGAGACCAGCCACGGCGCTCCCGCTCGCATAGGGCATTCAGACAGTCAAGGCAGTCTTAGTGTTGTCGACAATGCCCTCCGTTCAGCTACTCTGGAGTTCATCTGCGAGGAGCTCTGCAGCCCCTTGTGCGATCACATTCCCTCAGTTATGAGAATCGTTGATTCAATATTGAAGGGCAATGCGGACCTACAGGAACTTACCAATGCATTCCAGTATTACCTTGCCAGAATCACCCCAGCTGATGTCCAGACCCTGACAGAAGGAGCTGAGGATATCTACGACATCTTCGTCGCCACGCCTTCAAAACTGGAGGATCTGATTGACGCTGTCAAAACCGACTTGGAAACGCTCGGCCTTGACGGCACTTGGAGACTGCTCCGAGCTGGTCTATCCATTTACTTCCGTCTCTCCCCGTCGGACGAACACAATCTACTTCGAACACTTGGAGACATCATTACCCGTTTTGATGCATCCGGTGCTTCGAGCTAGACCACAGTAACTTGATGTGAAGGGTATCCAAGGGTTTGCTGGAGTTTGACGATGCGATCAATGGACAAGAGAGCGATTAGTGCACGCACTGCACAAACCACAATGTTGCATCGGTTGGCGGAAGTCTCTGTGATCCAGGGTACATTGATCACGAGCGACCGGTTGAAGGACTACACGCGAATGGTGACTGGGGATGAGCAGTATAGCTAGCTACCTAAGTCAATTGATAAGAGCATCGCTTACGCCCAACATGAATGAATGCACCTCAAATGCAATTGTGACACGACCAATATTCCGACCGGCAGCAAACATTATAGCACTATAGGTTGACACATCGGATCGTAGACTAGTAATCGGATGGCTGGGCCAACGCCTGGTCGCCTTGCCTGTTCGATGAATCACTTGGTAAAAGTTCCGAAAATGTGTGGTACTACTTGAAACCATGTCTCATCATGGGGTTGGCGAATGTCAATATTTGTCCATGGCCCTGCAGATCTCAGGTTGTTACCAGTGTTGCGGCACAGCTGGCAGCCGTTCAAAGCCCGCGGCCAAACCAGATTGACGATACCTAACATAATTAGCATCGATATCGACCCGTTCAGTCGCGCTCCTTGTGGTTGACTTACGCTGATAGAGGCGGATGGGGCGGCTCTGCATCACCTCGACATGTTCGTACAAATACCACCTGCCCCCTTTCTTGAGATAGGAGTAGAGCTCGGCAATGTTCTTCTCGGGCTCGGGGATGCTGCAGAGGCAGAGAATGGAAACAATGCAGTCGACGCTTCCCTTTTCAATCTTGCCGTTCCACGCCGTGGGGTCGGAGAGAGACTCGATGCCGGTGGGGACGATCTCGTAGGTGCCCTCGAGCCCGGCGGCCTGGACATTCTTCCTTAGTGCGGGGTGCGCCTCGGTATTGGGCTCGATGCCGTAGACTCGCGTCACGCCCTCCGCGACGCGCCTCCTGACGCCGCCGCGCGCCATACCAGCCGCTGCGTCGGCAGCCTTCTTCTTCTCGTCGCCGTCGCGGCCCTTGGCGAAGATGTCCACCCACATCCCGGACCCGGGCCCGATCTCCAGCACGACACCGCTGACGGGCGGGTGGACGGGCTCCTCTACGACCTTGCCGTCCGTGACGCGGCCCTCAAGGAGGGCGACCATCATGTCCGACCTGCCCACGCGGATGTTGGGGCCGAGCCAGGCCCAAAAGGCGGAGAACCAGGCGTCTTGGACGCGGGACGGGGTCGTAAGGGCTGCGTAGTCGCCTTCGCGGAAGAGGCGGAGGATGGTGGGGGGGAGGTAGGAGAAGGCGTTTAGGAGGAACATCCAGGGGCCTACGAGGGCCCAGAAGATTGCGGTTGCTTCTGCTAGGGAAGACATGACTTTGACCCCTCGATCCGGAGAGAGAGTGTGGGTGAGAGAGAATGAGGAGTGCCTATGGTATGTTAGAAATGGAAAGTGAGAGGGGGCATGAGCTCAGGGGCTCAGGGGGAGCTTACAGACTGAACAACAGGTTATATACACAGTTAGAGGAACAAAATACCCGAGGGGCCTGGAAAGTGGTGTGTCCCGGCGAGGGCTGGCCGGTTTATAAGTGGGAGCTTCGCGCAAGGAACGGCCGAAATGCCGGGGGACTTAGAAAAGAGGTATTACAGATAGTGAAGTGGATATATGCATCTATCAACTACAGTGAGAAGCTGTCGATGCCATTATCGTACATAGCAACCCCACCAACCCCACCATGCTCCCCTCGGCGTCTAAATCTAGACAGCTTCCTTTGACAGCTATCTCTGTCTCTTCTCTGTCTCTTCTCTGCCTCTCTCTTTTTTCTTTCCTACTCTTCTTGTTTCATGTCTCATCTGTACATCTATTGCGTCTCCAAGCCTTTCTCGTCTCGCGCTCACACGACTGCAATAGTGCCTTCAACAGCGCTTCATATCCTCCGAACACTTCCACCCGTCTTCGCTCATTCGGCTAGTCCTGTTGGTTCCTTATCTACGTCTCGCGAATTGCTGACATCGTGCCTGACAGCCCTGGTCTTCCAACGTCATGCAAGCTAGGGGGTCCCGTTCACGACGATTGGCCAGTTTGCGTCCATCCCGCTTCCCACGCCTTCAAGGAGCGTTGCGTCTGCTGGCGACTGCTCGAACCCGTCCGCGTTGACGAGGTGCCGTTCCCAATGGAGACGAGTCTCTCGGGCAGCTCCATCGGGCTTCGAAGATACCTATCCATCTGAGGCGCTGGCGCCGTGTAATAGGCACCGGCCCTACACACACACCAATCCACACAACCGTCAGCATTCATAATCCTGCGGCCACACTGATCAGGACCAGAGAGGCAAAGAGGCAAAAGCTTACCCGCCATTCGAGGTGACGGTACCCGACGGTGCGGATCGTTGAGACATCGTGGGGAAGAAAAGGGGTAAGAGGTTATTGGTGTTTAATTTGATTGATTTCTTGCAGGTTGCAATGCACGACTACAGTTGTACGAGGATGAATGTTCGCGATAGTATCTACGAGATGCCTCAGATCGCAGCACGGAACAGCTTCAATACATATAGGGAACCTGAGGATGCCATTTCAACCGTCGACCTGCGCGGTTGGCCAGCAGCAAGTTCTGCTCAATTGAGGAAATCGCAA